ACAACAGTAGAACTGTTGGACAAATTGATACATGAGAAGAAGAAGAAGAGAGAATATGCCTGATGTATAGTGAGAAGTTCATGTAAGTTGATATAGAGGAAGTGCATATCAGAAGCTCACACACTTGGTGTCATGTCAATGGTGAGAGATGCACCCAAGCCTGACAGAGAAGCATTTGTGAAAGAAGTGATAGATCAGAGGTAATACTGATCAATGTAGTGAAAAGAAGAAAACCAATCTCTTCAGAAAACCCTCCCCAGGAGCACATTTAATGCCCCAGATGTAAGGTAAATAAGAGACAAAAATGTGAAAATCAGACACCAGAAAGGTAAACAGAAGTGAAAGGGTCAAACCACCAAGGAGGTAAGAGAGATATTAAGATTGGGAATTGTGTCATGGGAACAAAGAATGGCTGTAAGCTGGGAGAAAAAAGGCAAGTAAATGAAGAGGATAAGGTATGGTAGTACAGGTGTAGAGTTATTAAAAAATGAGTCAGCATGGGCCATAAAATCAGTTGAAAGCAGAAAGACAAAGTAGTTCAGATTATGGGACACATACAGCAGAGCACAGAAAGAATCAAAAGACAAGTGGAAAGAAAATGAAAGGAACATACCTGAAAAACCATGTCAAGTAAGAAAGTAGTTGGTTGAGAACTGTCTTCCACAGATAATGCTATGCCTAGAGCTAACCCCTGTGAGAGAAATACCTTGGGAAATGATCATCATTATGTCCAATGAAGTAGGAGGAATGTCAGCCAAACAAATGGGAGGAGAAGGCCCAGGGTACATTAAAAACTCCAAAACAGGTCGAGCAATGGCTGTCACATCCTCCATAGACACAAAACCCACACTAGCCACAATAGACAAAGGTCCTGTGTTAGAACAAAGTGTAAGTTACCATCACTTGAGAATTCAAAGTCGATAATAATAGTAGAAATAGTAATAAAGGAAACCAGTAATACTTGAACTAAATTCAAGTTTTGCAAACCATCTCAAAGCTTATGCAACTGATTAACAAAGTTTAAAATACACCTGATCTAGACAATGCTGAGGAGAAGAATGAAGTTATTGAGTGTAAGTGAACAGGGAGAGTTACTGCATGGAGGTTGTGTCACCCTCCTGTTAGTGGAAGGCTACTGTCGCATGATGATATCATCATACACTAACTCAGTTCATGTTAAACATGTGAATTTTAGGTGGAAGTTAGCTCAGGTTAGTTGCATGCAAAACTCGTAAACAGATGCACAAGAGATATAACAAGTTTGTGTGTAAAGGTGAGGTATTACCTCGGAATATATGATTTGTATTATCATTTTTAACAGCATCTACTAGTAGTTTCTAAATCCAACTTGTTCCCAGATGATTTTAGTACTTTACTGAATGGCATGATCATACTAATGAAGTACTAAATTTTAAGCTTGAAAGAGATCATTTGTTCTTGTGTACTAACAAGACACATATTCTAAGTATATGAGATTTAAAAGGGAATATTGTAAAGACAAGAGAACCGAGATCAGGAAGAATGAAAGAAAATGTTCAAAGTACATTAGAAACATTATACAATAAACATAAATGAGTTAAGGAGGAAGAGGAAAGATATATCTTTATGTCTAAAAGAAATACTTTCACAAGTCATATGGATAATAGAAAAATAGTCTTTTTTTTCATGATTTGCAAGGAATACCATGAACATCAGCTAAAAAAAATACAGATGAGTTGAAAAAGAAATCAAGGAGGCAAGTATCTTTATAAGTTGCATAATGGAAAGCAAAAGACAGAAAGAAGTCAGGATGCACAGTCTACACAAGAGATTACGCTATAAAAAGTGAATTGAAGGATGGAAATTAAGTGTGTAAGCTTGCAATGATTTTAAATGTATAAGTACTAATAATATTCAAGCTGCTTCCCTTGCATGCATATGCAACTTGTTTGAGCCACTAACATTTCAACATCTTGATGCTGTAAGCTTCATCAATGATACTCAAGTATGTTTCAATTATATCAACAGAAGTCAGTTAAAACAAAACTAACTTTATAAGTAATTGCTATTCGTGTGGTGTACAGTTGAAAGTAGATCATCCTAATGTAATAAGTAAAGTAAGTAAATAAATGTCTAGTATACATCTCAAATATTTGAGAATAGTGAGACTACAATTTTCTCAGACTTGGGCCAGTTTATACAATCCTATAAAAAATTAAAAATATAAAAAAGTATTAGTAATTTATAAAACTATACCTTAAATAACAGGAAATTTACTAGTTTCATTGTAAACACTCAAGTGAAAGAGTTTCACTACTACATTTTCTAGTTAGTAAAATTCAATAACAAGTTTACATTTAAGAAGTAAAATGTAATTGAAATACATACTTACTTCTACTGCAACTTATGCTCAAGTATCTTGATTGTGTCTGAAATGTGATGAATTTTATTCCTTTCCCTACTTTTTCCTCTTTCGATTATTGCCCATCATTTGTCATCTGTAATGTTATGCAAATATTCTGTTTGAAAATGTTATGTGCATAATCATGTCTCATACCTTCTTCTGACAGAATCTTTTGGTCAATCATTTTCTGTCATGTACTACAATCTCTGCTTGATGCCTACCATGTATTTAATTAACATATGGAGAACAAGGGACTATTTGATTTTTCAAGGATGTCAATCCCTTCACACCCACCTTTGAGAAAAAGTAAAAAACATACACCCACCCTTTATTTTTCAGGAAATTAAGGACTTCCCTTTTAAAATTTTGTAATGCGCTTGCTTTCACTACTGATGGCAACAATTCATTCCATAACCCAAACATTCTGTAAGAAAATAAAACTGTCTTAACTGGAGTCTAGTAGTCTGTTGTTTCCAAATCATACACTTGTGTTGTCTCATCTTACTGTCTTCAGAAATAGCATAAAGAAATCAAAGGCTTCTAGTCAGTTGATCACCCATATAATCTAAACTTCAATAAGATTGCCTCTTACCCATTTTTTTTTCTCAAGAAATAATTATCATCTACCTATTCTTATAATACAACCCTTCCATCCTGGAAGCTGTCCTCTAAACTCTTTCCAATAAGTCAATTCCTTTTTTGGTATTTCAAGTGAGACCTAAACAGTGATTACAAATTTGCATAGTTAATTTTCTCTCCCAATTCCAACACTGTGGGGAGAAAGAAAGAAGAAGCCAGTGCTAGATGAGATTATTCCAGAACTGGCATCCTTCTCTGTGGTAGAAATATTCCAATTCTTAGCTTTCATGCAGACCTTACATAAACATATTTTTTTTTCTACATCATATTCTAACCATGGATGCAAGGTTGTCTTTACAGGACTTCTTGACAACAAACTCTATGCATGTAAATCCAACAATCTTCTGCTGGCTTGCTTTAAATTACATGTATTGAAAAAAATCATAAGTGCTTTGTTGAAACAAATGTTGATGAGAAGCCATTTGTGAATGTATTATCTGTTACAGCTATTAGATAATAATGCAGACCTTGTTTGGAGCTTTAAGTGTTTTTATGAGATTGTTTCATTTAATTCATTTACAAATAAGTTTGCATCCTGAACAATGCCTTTCTTTTGTTCTATGAGATTGGCTAGCTTTCACACACGACAGGAAAAAGACTGTTTTACATTGAAAAATGCTCCTGGTTGTAGTGTTTGATTTTATTTAATGGAGTAATGTATGTTCTCTATTTTATCATAATGAACTTATAACAAAAAAAAAGTTGTTTTCTTTTTTCATGTGGTTCATGTAGGATTTAGCTTTCATAACTGTAGGTAATATTACATGCATGTGGGTAGCATCTACAAATTCATCAGCAATAAGCCTCAAAACTGTACCAAAAGCTCTTTGATCCATCCTGTGGTGAATACTTAACTCACAATAGTCAGTAGAAGCACATTCAAAAAAAAACAAAATCACAGGAGTTGTTACATAGCAACTAAACAATGATTGGTAGCAGTAATTGGTAATGAACACTATAACCAGCTAATCACAACTAGTAAAGCTAGGAAGGAAACATTTTAATTCGGAGAGGATGAAGTAACTGCAAAGATGTTGCATGAGATTTTGATGAGTCTCATATGTGCATTCAGTTCACATGGACCACCAGCTTGGTGATGAATTGGCAGAAATAATTAACTAAGGCCTAGATAACAGTTATTTCTTTAAATTATGTTTTACTAGAGGATGCAGAGATGAGTATATAACTCCTGAGAAGGAAAAAAATATTGGTTCTGTAAAAAAATAACATGAAAAACAACATGGCCAGAAACAGTGTTACCTGCTCTAGATAAACTGATAAGGGCCAAATTGTTGGGTGAAACACAGTTGTTAAAAAGAAATAAAACTCAGAAAACAAAGGAAAGGGACTAACAATAAATGTAACCATGTAAGTGCAATTCTTACATCAAATATAGTTTGCACTATGTGATAGAAAGTGACTGGTTTAGGGATTCCATCAATAGTGCATGAGACATGGTTATACACCTAACACTCTTTTACAGAATGAGGCTTGCATAAAATTACATATTATAAATGGTGAACAATAATTGAGGTAGCAGGAAGTAGAAAAAAGGGGGGAAGAGTTCTGAGTCTTGGCATAAGCAAGAGTTACAGCAAAAGTAAGTATTATTTAAATTATATCATACAGCACCACTATTTGCTGTGTTAAGAAATGAATTTATCCTTTAAAAAATTCTCATGAATATGAATTAAAAGTACTAACAGTTATTATGATAAATCCACAACTTTTGTGATTCAATAATAAGTAATATTATCTAAGAAGTTTTTCAATATATTATATCAGGTAGACCCATACTATAGGCAAAAACATAGTTCATAAGGATTAACTCATAATAAATAACTAAACATTAGTTTAGAGGTCATTAAAAATTATTATAAAATTGCACAACACAAAGAGTGAAAAGTACTTGTATAAAATTGGAGCTTTAAATATTAAAGAAAAAACTACATGTAGATGACAGTTTACAGTATTACAGTACAGGTGAACTTATGATGCTCAGCAGAATGATATACAGTTTGTACCAAACAAAACTTGACTGTTGTAAATGCTTAAAAGACAGAAACTAGAATAACTTTGAAACTTGGCCAATGTCTCTGGCACAATAGGTGCACCACAGTGAGTAAAACATACCTCTTCTGAACTTCCCAACCACGGTTTAAAGCTCAACAGTGAAAAAGATAAAAGAGAAGCACCCAGTCTGCTGATATTAATCAGGTCCATTTTGCCTACATCTACTTCAAGTTGTTTTACACTTTCCAAGTTACAGTTCTCTAGGTAATTCCCAACTTGCTCCAAACCCTTTTCATGTGAATGTTTCAAACGAAATGATATGTCACTTGCTTTTATGTCATCTTTCTTTAAAATGTTCTGTTCAGCTTGAAAAAAAATCAATAAAAAAAATTAGTTAAATGTATCACACAATGAGAGATTTCGACACGTTTTCAAGAATGTCTTTAAATGTGAACATGCAAACTGACAAGAGATGAAAGTGTAGAAAATAGCTCCTGTTTACTGAGAAGGCTGTGCTAACCTTCTTGGACTTTTCAATGAATGTAATTCTAAGGTAATCTAAACAATAAGTTGCAAGCAGAAGAAACTGTAGGTATCCTAAGGAAAGGCAGATCCTCTAAAAGGTTCTAAAAAACTGATCACCTGAAAACAATGTTATAGAAACATCACCCATGAATATAAAAAAAAGGTCATATTCATCACTTAAACTCTGTCAGCTTGTCTTACTGCAAAATAACCAAATAGATCTTCAAGTATACAAAGTTGTTTGCAAGGAAATACAACTAATGTATAAGACACAAGTGCACAAAATTTGCATATTCTACACATACATAAAGTTTTGCAAAAAAAGCAACTATATGTTCTGACAGATAGGAATTTATTATTAATAAGAATTGAACATTTGAATGATTAAAACTTCACAATTATTGAAATGAGCAGTCAGTGCAGAAATCCATACTAAGCGAAAACACTCTGTCGCACACATAAGCTGCAATGGCAAATTACAAGTCAAATGAAGTGTCAAGTTCAACTCCCAATACTTCAGCCAAAATCTGCTTACGTGAGATTCCTTGAGAATCGTTCTTATTTTATAACAGGGCCCAAAAGGTAAAGCATATTAACAACACCCATTGTCAAAAACTTATATGTTACATGTTACAAAATAGAAATTCAAACTGAAATCAAAATAATTTTATCCAAGAAAACCCTAAAAAAATCACCTTACATATTATTAATAAACTATTTGGCTAATGATCATATGTTTAGAAATTTTGCAATGTGCTTTAACCTAACCCTAACACAGAAATTCACTTTTTGTATAAAACATTCTATCAGATCATTATTTAAAACATTAAGTACAACAAAAACTTTAAAAAAATGTAGGCTAGAAAATACAGTTTAAAACTTCTTTATATAAAAATAAAATCAATACTCTGTAGAGCATATATTTGTAAAACAATTTACACACAATCATTATTTTGCAATCAATTTTTTTATGGCCATAATATTGTATTTATAATATAAATTCTTTATACAAAAGCTGAAAAAATTACAAACAAAAATACATACATGAAAAGAGAAAAAATGTAAATAATAAAGAGTATTACAACATATATATGATAACGGAGCAGTATCAGTGCTGCATTTTGGCACCAGACATTTCCCCTACAAGCTTTTGAAAGAAACTTAAATATTTCTATTTACATATAAGCATCTAATTACATTGTTTAAATTTCTAATTGAAAGGTGAGAGATTAGTTCAAACATTTTTTTAAAATCAGAGTTGATTTGTCTGGAACTATGAGCTTGTTATTGTCATCATTTCTTTTAATAATTAATTTCAAGATCAAACACTAGTACATTAAGAGAAAAAATAACATTAAAAATACTTTATGCATAATGAGCCCATCAATTTTATGATTTCATTTTACTTTAGTTGAACCTTAGCAGTGATGAATTATTTTCATTCTTATAATGTGTATTAGCTCTTCTGAGGTCAGAGTAGCAAGAAATGTGCCACACAGTAATTTTTCCTGTTATATTGGCAATTGTGAGAAGTGTAATAATCATACAGTGTAACATTAAGTACCACAGAAGGAATGCATTTTCATTCTTGTTGCTAATTAAAAAAGAAGGTAGTCCATATAACCAATAAAACTGAAAGAGTTAGACCTAACTAGCTGCTTTTATACTTTCTGCTGAGATTACAAAAATCTTTGTGCAATTTCGTGGTATTCATGCACAACTCTGAATGAACAAAGAGTAGGCTGATCTTTTTTTTAAGATTATAGTGCTTTAAACTGAGTATTTTTGAAATTCGTTAATAACATGTAGTTTGAGAAATTGAATTTAAATGTTTCTCTTCTGCATTTACTACAAGAATATGGGAACTGAAAGTTGTGAAACTTTTTCTTTTGGTTAATCACTGATGGCAACACTACAACTTATGCTTATTAACTTTGCATGAGTAGGTAGGTGGTCTCTATTTTCAAGGTTTTATAACTAGATTATGTGTATGTTATTATTTTGTATTCCTTTGTCATTCTTGTCATCTTAGTCTCCATGGATGCTACAAATACTAAATTATTGAACTATAATCTTATTCACTTCTGAAATCTATTTTTATTGCAAGCTTATTTTCAAATTTATTAGTTTTGAAACAATGTAAGTATAATTTCCAAATTTAATTTAGCTTTATTCTAATTCCTGATACTCTTCAGCATTACCTTGATGCAATTATTTTTTGCAGACAAATTTCCTATTGCCACAGTTTTAATATACAGATACAATATATCTGACTATACTATTGTACATTTCTTGTTCACAAAATTTTCCATTTTCCTAAGTTTTGACTCTGGAACTGTCTAAACCTCATTGAGGGCACACAATAAATTGCAGTCTGAGATGTTACTTTTTGTAACTTGACCAGTCATGAAACTTAACTGCTGTTTTGTGAGATAGTTGCTTGACCTCATGTTTGAAGAAATTTTGTGGACTTGGAACAGGTATTTCCACATTTTAGTGCCCCTTCATCTGACTAGTCAGTTACAGAGAGAATATCCTTTGTGTATGATGTTTTGAAAAGATTTTTTCTAATTTTTAAGGAAGACAGTGTGTGATCTGAAATGGCTAGTACTCACTGTGGAAGTTCAGTTTCTTGTATTGCTACTGTTTATCATGCACAATGTATTTTAACTCTATTTACAAGTTAATTCAGTTTTATTTTAATTTAATTTTGTATTTCGTACCTTGTAGATATGTAACACAAATTTACATGAAGGGTGAAGTAAAGACACATGAAAGAATTATAATTTGCTTCATATTATTTGCATACAATGAAATTCTAGATATCTTTAATAGATCATTAGAAACAAGACATAGCATAAAGACAGAACTATGGATAAAGAGAACAGTAAACTATGCAAAATGGCAGCATTATTTAAAGAGAAAGTTAAGCTTTTGGCACACAATACATATTGTGGCTAAAATGACTTTCAGGAAGTTAACGCACAACAAGATATCAGTCTTTAGCTTGTGCAGAGGAGGGAAGGATAACAAATGGGACAGAAAGGAATGAGAATGAAAAACGTAAGGAGGTTATTATTATAGGTGATTTTCTAGTACAGCACATGGATAGAATAGTCTGTGGCATAAAAAGAGAGAAAAGAATTATATTATACTATCCAGGGACAGAGGTGGAGAATACAAGTGACAGAGCAAGTGATAGCAGTCATGTAGTCTTTACAGTGCACATAGGGGCTATGATGTAGGGAAGGGTAAGTCAAAGAAGCATTCTGTTAAGTAGAAGACATTTAAAGAAAACAGCCACAATAAGTTAATTCTGCCAGGGATACTGTCAAGACTTAATTATGAAGATGAAACTATAAGTAGGTCACTAAGGCTGAATGCTAGGCTTATGTTAATATGCAAAGACAAGCACATTAGCTGGTTGGATTTGTGGAACCAATTCAGTTGGAAAAGGGAGCTTTTTTTTGGAATGGATGACTTACATTTCAGTAGAGTAAAGGCTAGCTTGTTTACAAGGGCTATTAATTCAATTGTAAGTGTAACTAGACTAGGATTAGACAATGGATAAGGCAAGAATAAGAAAAATATGATGTAGAGTGGGGTATAGTGTGGGAACAAAGTACAAAGACAGATATAATGGTAGGCCAAACTCTTATAATTGTAATGCTCGAAGTATAAGTAATAAAATGGATGAACTTAGAGCACTGGTTGGAACAGAAGATTTTTAAATGTTGGGAATAACCAAAACCTGGCAGGATAGCAGGAGTTTTTTGAAATACAAGTTTATAGGTTGTTTAATATCAATATATTGCTAAATGAAGGGGAGAAGTGGCTTTATAGGAAAATCAAAGTTACAGCTACTTCAAGTTCAGAATATCAAAGCTAACAGTAATGAAATTAAATCTATTTGGGTTTTTGTTAGTGGTCATAAGGGGAGAAGGCTTTTGGATGGAAATTATAGACCACCAGATGAACCTGATGAAATTAATAAGAAATTACAGTGAGATAATGAATTCAACTGTCAATGAGGTTAGGATTATAAGAAATTTTAATTTCAAGAATATAGATTGGGAAATGTTAAAGTCTATCATGAAAAATACATGTTTTTAGAAACTGTTCAAGATGGTTTTCTTCAACAATTTGTTAAAGAACCTACTAGTAACAATGATATTTATATTTATTGTTAACTTCTTTGGAACAGGTTGCCTTCAGGTGGTAGATGAAGTTCATTTAATGAAAAATTGATAAATATTTGAATTATAAGGGCTGGCTTTGAGTTTTTTATTGTTTAGTTTAATTTGATGGATGGGATGGCCCTGTTGTCCTTTAATGTTATGTTAGGATGACAAATTTAACTTTTTCAAAATAACTGTAGCATTATAAATTATACACATTATTCATATAACACAAGTTATTTTATGTGCTTTTATGATCACATTTTAACACAACAAAATACCTAAAACAATGCCTAATGAATAACTGTGTTTTTCTGATTTACCTAAAGCACATAAAGCACCTGATGATAACCACAGAGCTTTCCACATGATTTTTTTTTCTGATTGATTTTGAATGCTTATTATTTCATTCATTAAACCCTTAGTGGCTAGGAATCTTCTCTCTGCCACATAATGTGGGTAGCAAGTATTTGTGTATACTTCATCATCTGTAAAGAAAATTTTTGAAAGTTTCTGTACAGATAGATTGTTATAAATCTTGAGTGAATTGAATATTGGACAAGTTGCACACAACAGGTGCATGTAGTATGATGCATGAATATGAAGCTCCTCAAGATTGCATGTATAAGCAAGTATCCATGTTGCTGCAACATAACCATAATCAGAATCTGGAATTTCAAGATACAGCTTCTGCAATTTCTCCAAACCAAAACTAGTGTCTTCCAATTTTTGTTGAAAATAATTTCTATGAACTTTAATAGCTAAACTCTCCAATGACCATGACAATACCATTAGTCCCTGAAGTCTTGAAAAAATCACATTCAAATCAGATGCTGTAAAGTTGCAGTTTACAATATGTAAGGCTTCCAGATTTTTACATTTTTTCACAACTTTTAATAAAATTTGATTTTTTATCCAGTTCACATTGCTTATGTTCAGTTCTGTAATATTTAGGACTCGTTCCTTGATGAAAAAATTTTCAAAATCACTTGGTTTGGTTTTCCACTGGTGATTGAAGCTTGCACACCTAGGAAATCAGAAATATTGTATATAAGTTTTGTTACATGCATATGACAAAATCAAGTGTACTATAACGACACAAATTTCAAGAACTAAGTCCAAAACATTTGGAAATGCTCACATCTCCAGTTATTATGATGTTAGAAAAACACATAGGTTCAAGAAGTCTAACTATAAATGAATAAAAACCCTATAGGGTTTTTATTCATCTCCAGTTATTACATATTCACAACTTTATATTACATGACCAGCTACACATACCTAATTTATTGAATTTTCCACAGATAAATCCTAATGCACATACCAATTGCTACAAAAAGTTAAACAAGTGCAGTGCAGAGTATATAGTGTTTGTGATCTAACAGTTTTTGACAATTACTTATAATTATTCAGAAAAGTTAATGGCTATCAGAAAAGCAGTTGAGCAGGGGTGGTGACATTGAATGACAATGTGCTCAAAGATATTATTCAAAATCTTCCTGTTTGTTCAACATTAAATTACATGCAATGTCCTATTGTTTTATTTCCCCATACTATCTTCCTATGGTTCTCAGAACTGATCACTTATATTGTTTGTCGAATCTATTTTATTGTTCCATACCATTCATATTTCATACTTCTAAGTAAATTTGTTTATATTGTAAATGTTAGTATTTACATTTTATTTTTCTTGAAAATCCAACTAACTACAAAAAAATATCTGATATATGCTAAAATAATCTCTAATCATATTATATCTGAGGTAATTCAAATTTATTAGCATGGTATGTTTGAATGGAATAGTGTTTGAATTTTCAAATAATTATACAAGAGTAGAAGAAAAAATAACTTACATCTGACTGGATAATTCAATACAGTAAAGAATGGTAAAACAAACATTCTCTTATTACTAATAAATTTAAAATGATTCAAGTGATCATGGCAGAATGTAAGTAAACAACATTAAATTTTTAACTCTTTATATATATATATTTTTTATATTTAATGCATAGACAGGTGAAAATCTGATTGTTTACTGTCACTTTAATCAAGAATAATGGTGTGCAAACTGTGGGGCACCCAACCCCAAAGTACAAATTTAAAAATAAGGAAGTTTCAAAAACTAATATACAAATATTATTACTATTATGTAATATAGTAACAACAATTATCATAGAGAAAATGACATATATAGTATATACACAAATAGGTTATATGGGATGCAAGGAAGCAGCGAGTCAAAATGCATCTTAAGAATGGGGGTCACCCATTTCCTAGAACATGCCAATCAGGTTCCCTCTAACTCTTGTTTTTAAATAAATACAACCAAAAATCCTATTTGCCATAATACTAGCAACAGTGCAACCAAGAAATAAATGCAATTTTATTAGCAATATATTATAGCTGATAAACTATTATTCAAAAGATAATATAAGGTCTAGACTCACAACCTCGAGCAGTGGCAAATTCAAAAACTCGTGTCAACAAACTCCAATACTTATACAACTAACAATAAATAACGCAATTATCAATATTAATAATGATTCTTATTTGTATGACTTATACCTAAAACTGATTTTAGGCTAACAAGCTGAAATAGAAATAAGATCTAAATGGCATTATTTGCATCAATTTCTCACTGATTAAGTCAATTTCTTTTCACAAAACATGTGCAGTTTTGAATTAGAAAAAAATACATAAAAAATTTCGACGTTTGAAAATTTTAATCACCAATGGCAAGATGGTTTATAAATTATAACTTATACATAAATATAAGAATTAAAATGATGATCCACTACTATTAGTATTAATACAGTATAATGAAACACAAGTCCATATGAAAAGTCACTTTCAGTTTCGCGTGGGCTGAAGAGGCCTCGTCAAGACTCAAATATCGAAATTCATGTATTGTAATGGTATATCTTCATTTTAATTTTATTTTTTGTCCTAATGCTAGTACCGACAGCGATCCTGCATTTATTTTAACTGTCAGTTCTATGTTTAAAACGTTAATTTTAAACACAAAATTAACTTACCTGCAAACTTGTTTTCGTAGAGAGATGTCCCAAAATGTATTGCAAAGTTTACCAATGGCAAGAAGATCTGAAGGATTTAAGTACATAAATATATTAATTAATATTTCTTCAGGTAAATGTTCCATATTTTGTTTCTTGTTTTTAGAATTTCATTCCTAACAACTGTAACACTAACATCATGTTATCGTTACCACGTGGTCATTCTTGATATGTATTTTAATAAAGTGTATTACTAATAAGTCTAGCAGTGGCAGTGTCACAGGTATTTGGCTTACAAATAAACAAATAAATGGTTTTTTACACATCACCAACTAAAATATACTATATATGATTAACTATTTTAAAGAAGCATGAACAGCCTTGTGAAGCGTACAAAGTGATCTCAACTTCAAGCGATAAATTTTATACATGTCCATTTTGATAAAAATAAAATAAATTCTTGGCGTATAATAAAGGGAAAGTCTTAACACAACTACGAACATTACAAAACAGGGAGAAGTAACCTAAATACTTTAGAGGATTTACAGGCGATGACCTTTCTTCGTGGTAAGCTGCCTGTTGCACCAGTGGATAAGCCAGAATTTTGCTAATAAGTTATAGTTATACTGTTAACAATTCTCAGTGGAGTAAAATAGCTAGTTATCGTGTAGGTCTTGTTGCATGGGTTCCTCTTATATGTTGGCCTAGTGGTTAAGGCACTTGTCTCGCAATCTCAGGATCGTAGATTCGAATTCCATCTCTGAACATGCTCACCTTTTCAGCTGTGGGAGTGTTATAAAGTAATGGTTAATCTCACTATTAGTTGGTAAGGAGTAACTCAAGAATTGGCGGTTGGTAATGTTGAGTAGCTGTCCTCACTCTAGTCTATCACTTCAAAACTAGTGCAGATAGACCTCGAGTTGCTTTGGGCGCCCCCCCCACCCCCAGTGGGCCAGCGGTATGTCTGTGGACTTACAACGCTAGAATCCGGGTTTCGATACCCGTGGTGGGCAGAGGACAGATAG